GGTTTTGTTCGCTGCACCGGTGACGTAGGGAAGGCTAAAAGGGCTCGCGTAAGAATCCGACAAGTGTTTAGAAACTGTAACAGACACCTATACTAGCTTGATAAATATCACACTTTTAGTGCTAAATGAAGACAACTCCTTCTCAACAATAAGAAAAAGTTTTGCTCACATTAATTGCAAAGTCATCTTGCTAAATTATAGTTGACATCAGCAAAAAAGTGGAGTATCTGGCCGGAGTAGCGCTCGTTACACGTCTTGTGTGATTTTAGTCAACCCATATTTAGTGGATTCTTTCGTTATTTCAAGTTTCGATTCTGTAAAATATAGCCTATTATAGCTTGAAGTTGTTTCTAACGATAATATAAAGCCAAAACGTTGTTTCTAGGTGAGTAGATTTATTTTATATATTTGCGTGTGCGTGTTCTATGAAAAAAATATTTCACCTGTTCGTTTGGTAACATCTTACACATTTAACGCTGATGGCTCAAATGTTGAAGCAATGGGTGATTTTTTTAATATTCTTGTTCGAGGTTTGGCTGAATCATTGGCTTAGGCGAGGCCCTTTTAAGGGCACTGTGGAAATTTATTACTTGGAGTACGAGTGGCTATATATCAATTACCGATTTGGTGAACTTATCAGACTTCATTGACACGGCACACGGTTTTTGAGCGTCCGATAGCCAAACGGAAGTTTTTAGCTTGCGGCGTGTGTATTCAGTCAATAGTGTGAAGTCAACACAGTACACACAGCAGCTAGTCTGGCAAAATCCGGGCAACCAGCAACGCTGCCAGTTGAACAGGACAGCCAGTCGGCACAACTTGAAGGTTGTTAACTTTTATTCTCGCTGGGTTCTGACTATAGATGTTCTAAGATCACAATGACAGTGAATCTGATAAACATTTCATATCAGAGTTTCCACTCGGTAAATGATCTGGAAAACAACATGGAGGAGTTCCATGTGTGCTTCATTCTCAGGGGAAAAGCCAATGTGGAAAACGAGGGAATAAAAACTGTATAGAGTAAAAAAAAAAGGACACAGAATATCGATATAATGTTTTTCAGAAACTTTCAGGACGAGGTTTCAGTTGGTGGCATAAAAATGGCTTCTCGGACAATCAGAATTTGGGGAACAAGTTACTTGCCATCTATTGAGTAAAACCGTTGTAAAAAAGAAATGAGCAAATTATTTCACTGCGGCGAAAACTAAAGTAGGACCGCTAAATTTTCAAACCGAATTGTAAAAATTAATGGTATATCTGACTTTCGGTCCTGTGTGCGGTAGTGCGGTAGTAATGAGAAATGATCCAAAAATATTGGGAAGGGGATTCATGGTTTTGAGATCTGGAGGAACATCATGCGACCTAGCCTTCATTAGTACTGAACCTTGCTTAAGTTGGGTATAAAAAAATACTGATAAATCATACAACCACAGAATAGATCAACTCAGAAGACTTGACGGTTGGGATCGAGGGCAAGTTGGCTGCTGACTGTTTACTCTCACTCTTTTAAAAAATAAAAAAAAAAAACGAAACGAAAAAGTGATTCGGTAGCAGCAAATACAAAATTGGACTCACAATGACATACACTTTAACCTTATTCTTAATAGCCAGGAACAAGGTGGGTGGTGCAAGCGAATCAGTTTTATCTCTTTAGTTTCTTGCCACACTATTATGTAGCTGATTCTCTTCGAAGGATTTGGCACACGTGTAAACTGAAGGACTCAAATAAACATTACAGGTCCTTTGTCAGTATTTTTTCAGGCAGTTGCTTATTTACGGATTTAAGTATTTCAAGAATTTTTTTTTAGTTTACAGACGACAATGGGAAAATGAAAGATATCGTGTTCGGCACTTCTTTGCAAATTTTCAAATTTCCTGACTGTTATTTTTCCAATTCCAAGGAAACTCGTTTATGTGTACCGAAAATAGCAACGTAGTCTTGGAATAAATACCAAGGTATACTGAACTATAGCAGACAGATTAAAATTCCTCGAAGAAAATCTTGCTTTGTCTGGAAACTCCTTCCAATAGGCTAAAGACCCTTCTTTGTGTATTTCCTTTGAGCGCCACACTACGATTGGGTAACTTGATACATCCCTCTGCAGTTGTAAATGTTCAGGCTACATTATTCACAACGCACCCCTATTATCCAGTGCAATTGTGTCGTCACGAGCACGTGGCCTATTCACGGCAGCATTCATTCATAAAAATCTCTTCCGGCGCTCCGGAAGTAACACGCCAGAAATGCCGCCCGCTTTCCATATATGGTGTGGGCCCTCCAATTGACCAATCAACGCTCAGTATATTTCCGCCTGGTATGAATATTTAGTACATTAAGTTGAAGGTCGTGCTACGTAGCAGATCTTATCAATGGGCGAGGGTATTTTTAGAGCGGGGAAATTTGCACTGGGCGGGCTTTAGCTGCTCAAGTGACAAGCGCCATACATACAGGCAGATATATAAGCGGGGATTCCGACTCTTTGCTGCAATGGCCAAGTGAGTCATCCCCGTGAAGTTGTTAGGGCTTGTCCGACAGTTGGAATCTCTCCCCTTCTTTATCTTCTGGAGGTGAGTGGAAATTTCTTCAATTCTATACAGTGGCCACAACAATAATGTACCTAACCGCATTTTGTTTGCCCAAGACGGACTTTCATTTTCTCAGTTGTCAGTTCTAGCTTAGTTTTATATACACTGTAGTTTAAATAACTAGTTTGACGGATGATGTTTGGTTTGTAATGGGTAATCCGCACACATGCACAGTCAAGTGTGTTGTGCATGGGAAGGATTACTCTCGTCAGTTTTTTAATTTAACTGATTTTACACACTCGTTTAAGCTAGGTAAAATGTCAAGTTCGTAAAAGCATTGTTTTTGTGTGTTTTTTGTTTTTGTTTGTTTTTGTTTTATACGGGGACTTCGTACTTCATTCTTGTGCAAAGTTAGGTCGGAGCAATCGAGTCACGTGTGTTGTTAGTGCGTGGGTGTAAATGTATCCTACCTCAGAACTAGGTTGCGCAATAGAACTTGCTTGTCAAAATTTGGTTAGTGCTTCACCAGTCACATGCATCAAGTTTCTGCAAGACTGAAAATTACGCATTAATGAAGAAAGCATAACGCGTCTGAACTGGCAATAAAGTGATTACTGATTCCATGGCCCTCTACGCCAAAATTACGTCAGAATTATGCAATGATCCTTCCCAAAATCATCACTCTGGAAAATACGGTGCAGAGGTGTTCAGGATAAGTCGATGAAATGTACAATCCCTGGCGGCTTTCCGGACAGAGACCGCTTTGTTTTTGCCATTTGTGAACGAACTTCCTCATTTGTAAATCGTCCAGGGAATTGTTTTTTCTCCAAACTAGTTGATCTCCCACCGACTGCAAGTTTGCTTTTTGGCCGTTGGTTTGTGGAAATACCGTTTGGGTTCACTCGTGGCGAGGTCTGGGGCTTCGCACTCATTGGCAATAGCACAAATGGATAAAGCCCAACACGAGATTGTTCTTGACTGACTCTCTGCTTGATCTTCAACAGTTCAAGACAATATCATGTGATATTCCATCTTATAGGTGTTAAGTCCTTGTCGGGGTACGTGGAGTGTAACCCACTACAAGAATGGATAAGCTCGGTTATAATAGGTGGATTTCTCGCAGATGAAGGTATCCCAGCGGATTGGCTTATTCCAAGGAGTTGTTACATGGTTGTTTTTGTGAGAAAAAGGGAAAATGGCTCAGTAAAAGAAATTCAGATTGTCCTCTAATATTAAAGGCATAGGTCTATAACAGGATCTTTGTAGCTTTAATTAATACCATTGCAGCCGTGTGCATATGGATGTCTCTTTAACATGTTCTGGGAAATGCCTGGTACAAGTAGGACCTAGGCCTTCTGTGACATTCTTTGGAAACATCTCTCCAAAATAAAATGTTGAAAGGCTGTGTTTTTAAGGGGCAGTGAATAAAAAAGACCAAGGTTTCATACTGAGTTTCCTTCAAACGAAGTACTTCCTGCTTTTACCAGTCTGTGCAGGAGTGGTTTACCGCGAAAGCCCAGGGACCCAGTGAAGGTGACGGCTTTACTGGCACAGGTTCCTTTGTCTTCTGATTTAATCTGGGTTTCTTGTAAATTTGGTGGTGTGGAAAATGGCGGATTTTGTTTTGATTTCTGCGAATGAATTCTCCACTTGTCTGAATAAATATTTCTCTCTTCTTTATTTTCATTTGGTACCTTATTGACATCTAGTTTCGACGTACAGTAGACATATCTTTCATACCAAAGCACCATGGACTAAGTTTTTATACTTCATTGTACATGCACATGCCCTTTTATTTGTACATAATACACTGTAAAAAGGTTGGTCACATTTGGGTTGATATTTTGCCCAATGTTGGTGTAAATATTAACTTCCCAACCTTAGGCAAATTCTTCCCAATCGTTGGTCAATGTTTGACCAACACTGATGGAAATTAACCAACAATGTGGTAACTTTAACCAAGGTTGGGCAAATAACAAATGCTCGACACTGTTTGACCAAATTTTTACAGTGTACATGTACATGTACATAAATACGCAGGACTATTAACAATACCGTTTGATATAGGCTGAGACATTTAAAAGCACAAGTGTAAGTCGCTTGTGCCTCTCTGATAAAATAAAACACGCGTATTTCAGCTATGAGGTCACATGACTTCAAAAGACACCATTTGCAAGGTCGTATGAGTCACGTGGGCACGTCAAGCATCACTGGTGGCTAGAACCTCTATTTGCGAGCGTGGGTGGCATCAAGACTATACTCTATGAAAATGACGACTCGGTATATGTCTGTCATTCAGTGGAACCGTAATAAACTTATGGTGAACAATTCTTTCAATTTCACTTCCATTGCGGTTTAAACTTCCATAGAGAGGTTGGATCAATTTCCACATAGCTTGGTGTGGGAAGCCGTGTTTAGGGCCACAATTTTCACGCATCATCCTGTCAAGTCAACCATCCATTCATAAAGTTTGCATGGTATCACCCATTGGTCCGTGAAGTCACTAGTTAGCACACGCTGACAGACGCAACCATCTTATTGGCTGACCGCCAATAACGTCAAACTAATCAGATATGCTGTTATGACTCTACGCCACTCGCACCAGCCAAGAGAAGGTTCCTGGCCTTGCTGCTTTTGTAGTACAGTGTGGATTTACTATTGCTCAATCGCATCTTTCACTTTGAGAGGCTCGTTGAACTTCAATCCATCGGCTTCTCTGGTGGTTTGAGGGAAGGTATCCAAGCGAGAGGCTTTTCCATACGGCACATGAGTGTGCTAACAGAGTACGTACTACTTTCTTTTTTATTGTGATTGTAATTTTTGTATGTTTGTGCGAGACAGGGATAGTATTGTTTGGTTACACGGCCTCTGAGGTCGACTTGACTTTGTGGTTTCATCTTTTCCAAACATTTATCTCTAGCACATGAGTCTTCACACTTTGAAGTATATGAAAGTCATGTAGAGTTTTAAGTATGTAGCGTAAAAAGTATTACATTAAGTATTTAAGCTGGAAAAGCCGCTTTTTCATGTCACATCATTTGCTACAAAGCAATTTGGGATCTGCGTTTTTAAACGAAGATTAACCCCTTTGTTGGCCAACTGAATTGCATACAACGGTCAAAGATCTAGTCTAATGGTTCAACTTGCAAAGTTGCTACAGCAGAACGTAAGCTTGTAATTAAGTTCAGAACCTAACTGTGCAACTATGATGCACTGTCGCTGTTGAACATTTTCCGTTTATGTCTCGTTTAGCATTTAGCTCAGACATTCTCCTAAAGTGAGGTGTAAAGGATGGTTAATGAAGCCAAACAATTTCATGCCAAGTTTTCCTGTCGATCTTGAATCATTTGGCCTGTAAACATAAAAGAATATAAAAAACATGGCGGCGACCACGGTCCGTCGTCATTGGTCGTGAGCATATGTAAGTATAGGTGCACCACTCAGCAAATTTCGCAATTGAACGGTACACTCAGCCCAAGAGAATGTGACGCTGAACGTGGAAACTTCAAACCAACCTACATCTAAATGTTGACCGTGAGAGGCTATTAAATTTGTCTTTTCAGCTCCTATTTGCGACTGAATTTCATTCTATTTCGGTTTTAAGAAATAGAGAAACCATGAAATAGCGGAATAGGCCCCAATATAGTGGGATAAATTACTACCACAGGCTGTATCACTAACAAGTCTGTTATAATTTGTCGGCAAGTATGCCCCATGAGATTATATAGAAAGAATGAAATGTCATAAAATCACACAAGAGTTTGTTCTTTCACAATACTGGATATACATGTATAATGGTATAATTTCAGTCATTATACATGTACTTCAGTTCACACTTATGACTAATATGCATCTTTCAACTGTACTATATGTGACTATCACAATGTTGAAGATGTATATATTTACAAATTGTCCTTAGTCATTGTCCCAGTTTAAATTGGAATGATATTTTAAGTTTACATGTTTTATACACTGCCTTGCACGACGCTACATTGAATGCTGCTGCAACATGTCGTTTCGCCGTCAGTCACAGCAGAAAAACATAACAGGGTCCATTGTGTGTAATTTGAGTTATTCCTTTAGACTTCGATTCCCGTAATGACTTTATCTGCAAATGTTTTGCTTTACATCATAGACTGAATGTTTTATCGAGTTTGGCTGAACGTGTAATTTTTATGGACTTTCCACGAAATGTTTCTATTGTGTGAATGAATGAGAAAGATTCCATTGACGAGGAAGTAGACTTAAGGCTTGTGTACTTGGGTACTACTCGGCATGTTATTGTTAGAATGACATAAGCGAACATAAAAATTAGAAATGGAATCGATCGATCGATGAAAATGTAAAGCTATGAAGGTACCTGGCAGAAAGAAGGATCACAAAACATTGAAGCTTTGCCTTTGTTATTCCAAAGATACTAATTATGTCCACCGTATTTCAACCGGTAACTAACAATGAGGATCCTTTTGTGTTTCCAACAGAACCTTTCGGAAACCTAACCGAAGCATGCCGGTACTGATGACCACTCCCTCGCCGTCCAGTCACGCCAGCTTCCCCGTTACCACCAGCGGTGGCGACACGGTCCACGCAGCAAGTCTTTCTCCATCCAGGCCGGCGGAGAGGATGCGGCTCCGGCCCTGGCTCATCCGAAACATCGAGGAGAAGACGATACCAGGATTAGAGTGGTTGGATAAGGAGGAGAGACTAGTGAAGATTCCCTGGAAGCACGCAGCGAGGCACGGGTGGACGTGCGACAAGGACGCCTCTCTCTTCCGCGCTTGGGCCATTCATACCAGTAAGTCACCTTCCTCTATCGCTGCTTCCTCTTGAACATTTTTACCAAGCACATTGCCGAATATCCATGCAATTTTAGCGTTCACACTCCTTTACAAAGTCACATGTGACACGAAAAGTCAAAGTTACCTCAACCTAACTGCGGCTAATTATCTGAGTGAAATGTAGAATTTTAGTGAGGCTTTTTAACGAAATCAATTCCCCTTCATTTGAAAACTTTGATAAAAAATCTACTTTAATACATTAAAACATTGGTCCAGTGTAATGCAACAGAGATGCAAGATAGGATAAAATTGAACTACTTCACCTTTCGACCTCCTCAATCTCCATCAAAGCTCCCCTCTTTTTTGCCTTCCTCGAGAACCTCGAGATCTAGATGTTTTTTCACCCCCATCCACGAACTCTCGTTTCCCCTTTCCTGTGTATGTTACGAGGTATTTCAAAAGTTTTCGTATAACTTCCAAACGGTTCAGAATGCCAGTTCTCTTTTTATCCATTAAGATGTTTGCATTTTTCTTTGAATGAAAATAAACTTACGGGTATATGCAAATGCGTAATATGTTTTACCCAGTTTGTGCAGTCTGATAACTGGAGTGTTCACAGTTAAAATAAGTGCTTAATTAAATCTAGGTAATGTTTCTGTAGGATGTAGGTTCATACAGTAATAAATGGCGCCGATTCATACAAACGAAAGGAAAAAAATAAATCATTTTTATATGCTTTATAAAATTGGATTTTCATTCAATCTTTGGATCTATCAACTTTTAAAGACCTGTAACATCTTAAGTTTTTTGTAGTTGCTGTGTGTATTTTAATTCAAACAAATTGTACAGCCATGAATTTTGATCATAATGACTTATCTGAAGTGGTAATGGATGTAATTACGATACTTCATTATGTTGTTTAAAAGTGCGCCCATTAAAAATTCTTGATTGTGTAGTTGCTGAGACAGAAATCTGAAAATCGTTTGCATTTTAAGAAACCGAATTCAAGGCAAAGAAATGCCTGCATCCTCGTTCCAGTAACAAACTTGTTCCTGCAATTAACTCGAACTAAATTTCCGTGATCAAAATGAGGTTAATTATGGATTGATTTGGGACGTGTCTGAGGGAATATGAGGTTGAGCAGCCCCCGGTTTATCGACGTTAACGAATAAGTCACCAATTGACAGCCGATTTTTAGCCCAAAGCACATCCTAAGTCAATAAAATGAAATAGAGATTCTCTAGTTTAATGTGAACCCTGCTTCTGAAAAACAAAATGAAAGTAAAATAAAATAAAAAAAACCAAACCGACATACATTTGGGCAGTCGCACATTGCCAGAGCAACACATGGCGCAAGCCAGCCTCCAGCTCGCTCCAGACAACCCAAGAAATCGATAGTTAACTTTGGCACTAGGGAGTAGAACAAATAGGCAAATAAAACCGAGCAAATTAGCTGTAATTTTTAGGCGCGTTCTTCGACAAGGGCGGGAAAATAGCAAGCGATAAAAATCAGATCGATATTAATCAAATAAACATGTGGCTGTTGTATCTCTGGTTGAGTGGAGCCTTTGGGAAGAAGAAAAACACCATAAATAAAGTTTTGGATTAAATAATTTACAAATCTTTTTTAATTGGTGAATTTCATTTGAAATCGTGTGGGATATTGAAACGAGTCTATTTATGGTGGTGTGGAAGTGGGGGAACGGATTTTTTTTAATGAGGAAGATCTCTGATTTGAGATATTTGAACAAATATATTACTGGGAAGGAGTTTGATAGGAAGGAGAAAATAAAATCTGTTTCTTAAGACAACTCTCTTGACTGTAGACGTTAGTGACTTACACTTTTGAATGAAATCAAAGACGAATTGTAAAATCAATTCTGCCATGCCATGTTGAACGAAAACTATGTCATTTGTAAGTAATTATAAAAAGACCAACTGTTCTTGGAGTTACATGTACTTCTTCTGAAAATCCATTCCCTGTCACGACCGTCTCTTATTTTCGAACGAAAGAAAGGTTATTTTATTCCATTTTAAGTTAAGCTAACGTACTTTTCCTTATTGCAAAACAAAGGAAACGGCAATTACTTAACAAATCACCTGCCTTTTGTGCACGGTGTGTACTGTATAGTATTTTTTAATGAAAATATTGAAATTGAAAATCAAATAACGTGTTACGAAATTGTCTTATTCTTAGCGTGGGAATGAATCTTCACAACAAGGAAGGGACAAGCCTCGAAACAAGGAACCACGACCGAATTCGGCCCGGTTCAAAACGAGGAAATTTGGTCCATAATTTCACAACTGCCTTATGGGTCGAAAGTTGGCAAAAAAACTGCAGTTTCCTTCACCGTCACGAAATCTGATTAGTCGCGATAGTATTGGGTAACGCTCTTTTTTTTCGTGTAAGTTTTTGTGTTTTAACCAGTCGTTTATTATGGGGCAACATACGAGATACTTTTCACAATCAAGGTTGTTATTAACATCTTTTAATTTAAAACTGTATCTTACACGGAAATGCTGTAAAATTTTATTGTATGAACTCGCCTATATACTGTGACTATATCAGAGATTATTTCCCACAAGACAAAACAAAATAAAATAATACGAAACTCGTATTTTTGAAAATGTTTTGGCAATGTCATTTCCCAGATAGTTGGCATTTACTGTGCGTCAACAATCAGTCATCTCTTTTTCATGCACTGTTGAATTTAATGTCAGCGTTTACGCACTCATTTGTAATTTTGCAGCTTTTGCAGCCAAACTGGGAAAACCGTACATCGTGCAAGGAAATGCCAGACAGGGGATTGAGCGCTGCCGTACGTCCCAGAAAGTCCATGCATTCCCAATTCAACGTTCACTGTCAATAAGCCATTTGCGAGTTAAATTTGAATAAAATCTGGTGCACTGAGTTTCTGACTGCACAAAACATTACGATTTAAATTCCCCAGACTAAAGACACTGTTGCTATACCTCGTGATTCGGAGCAAGCTTTCTCATAGCGACCACCATCTCTGGAATGGGCTGGTTCCTTTGTGCCCTTCTTATCCACTGATAACAGTGTATTGTTGCAAGGCGTCTCTTATGTAACTAAGCAAAAACTTCCCCCGAATCACGAGGTATAGTAACAGTGGTTTTAGTTAGGAGAATTCAAGTTGTTCTGTTCACGTGAATTTAAAGCACTCAGTGTACCAAATTTGGGTCAAAGTTAAATCGCAAAAGGCTTATTATCTTTGACCTTAATATCGGAACAAAACATCGTTTAGCAGATGTCAGTAACTGTCCACAGAGGAAAAAATTTTCTTTCAACCAACGGCACTCGCCCATTCTAAGAAAACGCGGATTCAAATCACTTTATGATATGCACGTTCATCTCTGAGCTCCATACCTCCAGCAGGCCACGCAGTTGTCAGGTTGATAATCAGTTGAACGGAGTTGTAATCTGTAATGGCATTAGCCCCGAATTTATCCCGCATGTTAGCCTGGCAAAATGCGGAGGGGGTCATATGCAAGCCAGTAGCATATCCAGTTTGCCTGGATGGGGTGGGTGTGTGTGCGTGTGCTAAACATGATGATTCAAGTTTTAACGCGTAAAGTTTGTCACTACCCCTTCAAAAAGGTAATACATACGGTACAATTTCGAAAGTGTTAGCGCGTTCAATTCCTACAAAAAATATGGCAACATGTCCCGGGGGGCCAACTTGCGCCCCCCCCCCATGCGCCACTGATGCAAACCCTGAAATCAGTGAATTGTCATGGAAGAAATTAATCATCTGTTATGTTGAAATCTCTTGGAAAGTCTCGCAGCATTAGAAAATGAAGTCCCCGAGGGAAATAAAGAATGTCGAAAACAGCGGGATCAAATTGGCGGGAAAATCAGACATCGGCCCACCTTGTACTTGGCAAGGGCTGTCACGGTGTAATGAGATTACCTTGCTGGCAGAGGCTGGCATGTCGAAACAGAGCCGCGTAAAGTCAGCAAAGAAACGATAGTGCACATTCATGTAAAATTGCTGATGACTCTGTTGATTTTAAAGTGTAATTCAGATGTAAAGACCATTCTTTTAATTGTTGTCTATACAATTGTCATTATAGTTGAAAGGTACTGGAGAGGTTTTGTTTGTTAGTTGGGTGGGTTGTAGGGTTGCATGTTTGTTTGTTTGTTTGTTTGTTTGTTGGGGTGTTGGGGTGTTTGTTTGTTTGTTTGTTTGTTTGAAACTTACTATACATATAAGATCTTTTTCTCAATGTTGTAATTAGTAAACCTCCATTCTGTTAGGCATAATTCTCGTGGCACGATCTTTGTAAATTGGGTCAACTTAAAAGCCAAAGGAAATGCACGCGTTGTGCATCAATTTCCAATTGTTTGTTTCACTATGTTAGTGGAAGGAAACCCGTTAAATTGCAGCTTCTTTCTTCTTCTACCACAGCAACAGGTCCAATTTCCAAATTATTTGAAAATTCTGTCTGAAATTCAGTTTTACACTTTGGTTTCATACGCCGGTGCAAAAAAGTGCATTTCAAGTCCCCTTGCAACACCAAACAGCTGACAATATGCTTACTGATGATTCCTTTGACAAAACTATTGAATATTCACGATGATTCAGCGGGTGCGTGGGTGTAATACAGGTCATAGAGCAAGGGGTTTCCAAGCGGCACACGGTAAACCCAGGTGGTATGTTTTTTGATAGAGTTGTTAAGTTAGCTATGCAAAGGGCTGACTCAAAGTCACGAGTCGAAGCTGCGAGCAAACAAACAACTTTGTTTGTGCCCCGTTCTCGTACCGAGTGCAAGCACAACATTCCTGCGTCCCAAGAAGTTTGTGTGAGAACACAAGCAGCAGTGGGGTTGGGCCGCCAAGCTGTTTCTATCCAACTTTTTATGAATTCTTTTTGGATTATGGTTGTCTGTTTTACCTCAATGATGGAACTACATTAATAACTTGTGATGAAACTTTCAGCGAGGAGTGGGCGCGAGTTTTTGTTGTGAAGGAAGTCGGAGCCCGGCCTAAGTCGTCATTGCGAAATGATCACTCCATAGGCCTATACATGTACAGTGAGAAGTTACAGGACATCATTTTCGTCGTTTTGTGAGATAATGCCGAAACTCCACGACCTGCCAGCACATCTCCAGCACGCACCCGCTTTGGATAATTATTTTGAAGAAAGAGGCTGCTTAACATCTGCACTGGTGTACGTAGAATGTCATCATGCCGTTTTGCGTTGTGATAAAATGCCACGGGTGTAGCGCAATTAATTTTAGCATAAAAAGTAAAGGGAAATGATAAATTCCTTTTAATTATTGAAATAAAATGAGTGGTCGATGACAGCAGAAATTCAAATCGGAACTCATGAAAACTTCTTGGAAGTGGACTTGTAAACAGTATCAGCGTGTTTTCAATTTCCCAAACTCCGTCAAAACACATGATTAAGGCATCATGTTGCGAACGGTAATCTCTTCCTTTGATTTGGTAGTTTTCCAGAATTAACTGCTCACAAGGCTTCGTGATCATGATTTCAGTGATTCAACAAAAATAGTTCAACCTGTATCCGTGTGATAGGAAATAAACCATACATTGTGACTTGACTTTAAAGGTACCCGTTTATGAATGGGGCTTTCCCACTTTACTATTTGACTCTGAAACAAAGTTGCATGATTCACCAGTGAAGTTTATTATTATGCCGAGTCATTTTCCAGGGTCTGTTCTGTTGGCATGCTTGTTGCCTGGGGTTATTTTGCGTGGGTGGGCATTTTTCTTTAGAGTACCGAGTCACAAGTTACGCTTGATTGCGCGATGGGATTCCCTAGCCCACGCGCAGACCAAATGCATTGCAGATATAGAGTTCACTTTACTACGCAAGACGTTGTCTATGATGCTGCAAAAAGGAAAGAGAAAGATCAAAGAGTTCCTCGATGAGTTACGTTAACACAGAAATATTTGACCAAAAATATACATAAAAATGAAAAACAAACGTCATGTCTGACAATGGACACTTAAAGAATCAAATTGCTTACTGTCATACATCTGGACAGAAATTCCGAAATTTTTTAAGCTGAAATTATGCAAACACAAGTTTAAAAAAATAAAACCGTACAAATTATTTATCAGAGCGATCCAAACTATTGAGGATATTCTCATACATTACCTTTGAAACACGTAACTCCCGAACAGGCTTCATCACACTATGAAACGGTTTTCATGACCTTTTAAATGAAATCCATATGCCCATTAAGTAGCAGCATAGAAGGAGTTCTGGAAATTATTAGAATGACCTAATTTGCTCCATTCTCCTGTTAACTGTTTGTCTCAGACGTGGATCAGGCTCGTAATTGAATTTGTGGGAAAATTGAAACACGCGGTCTGTCCCTATCTTGTGCACACGTGTACCGTTAACATGTACTCTACATTGCGTGTGCGCAATGACAAACCTCAACAGACAGGAGAGAGCCAGCTGTGTTGATTGTGTTTTAACGGAGACCTTGATCGCTGAAAAGTTCATTTTTTACCCCATTATCATGATTTTTGCTCTGGCTGCTATAGTATCTGTGGCCAATCATCGCCGGAGAGGTTGGAGGGGCGCCTACACAGGACCGAAAATAACTGATGCTTTTACGATTTTTACCCGTTCTGAGAATGTTGGTACTAATTTCAGAATGTTTGCTCGTCCTTCTGGCGATCCCGCTGCTGTACTGTGTAGACGGAACCACCTAAAGTTTAATCCCGAGACAATGCACCTTACTTGATAAAGAGATTTATGAAAACGTTCCATATTTATCTTATTTTTCCACGTTTCTGGGCATCAAGAGCCAATTGCACAACATCCTATACAGCTCTGTAGGATGTATTCGACAGTTGTTATGTGTGTGTACATGTGCATTAAATTCATGTGCGAGCCTAACTTAGAACTTAGAGCGCTGTCATTCATTCAACACAGAATCCTTACCCTCGAATTGCGTAATGGCAAGCGGCATCCCCACGGCGTCACAAATCGCCCCGGAGCAAATTGGGTGGAAAAATATGTGCATTTATTGTAAGAACTCCGCTGCTGCACACATTGCACACAATGATCAAGGACCTTTCGGCTGTTTTGCGAAAGAAAAGATACTTGGCATTTTGCGTGGGTGGACGGTGTAGATTTACGGCGCGCGCTCCTGATTTTCTAAAGGCAGCGGGCGTTACGTCGTTGACTCGTGACTCGCTGGAGGTCAGTGAGGTCGGGTTGAGAATTGGGCCGATGGCTCAACGCGGAGATCCCCCGTCAGTTCTTTCCCTTCTGTTTGAACGGCTTACGTGGTAGAAGAGCTTTCGCTATCCGCTATGTATATGGCTTTCTTTTCGCACCATCTTATGCTATAGGCTAGAATAGCACTGCTACCATGAAGGGTTCATTAAACTTTGGTTCTTTGGTCTTTATCTGAACCCTTTTCCCTGATATTTGCTACGTCCAATTATGGTCGGAACAATTTGCTTCAGTAATGGACGTGCTTTTAAGTGAGGTTTTTTTTTATATAGTCGAGCTTATTCCACGCCTTCGTTTACAACCAAGAAAAGATCGAGCATAGAATTAACCGTCAACCGATTTCTGTTCGCTTTCAAAAAGGCAAATAATTTTGCCATGCGTAAAGGCTTCCATAGCGTAATATACTTGCCCAAAATCTGCATTACAGTGCTGATTACTGACTGTACTGACTATGAGTCCTTAATTAAGTGAAGTAATAATTAATTTCTTAATACAAGAAAAACAGTGTAAACCTCAACTGGAATCTCCCAGAGGGAAATTTAATGTTTGAAAAAAAAATTAAAGGGCTTGTGTGCTACCCCAAGAACTGTGGGAGCGGAGTGGACGTCGGACCCCATAGTTCTGGGGGTACTTGCGCGCATGGTTGAGTTGAAGCTCGTGACTTGGGTAGGACAATTGATCCCATATGCCAAGCGTAGAATGCTAGGGATTCCCACAGTAAAATCTTAACAGAGCAAGCCGGATTGCGCAATGAACAGTGGCACGTGTGCCGGTCGACATACTTTTCCGCTTAGGGCCTACTCGATGAACGTTCTCATTCAGTGTCGGAATAAACCCTGCTCGCTGGAGACTCTGCAACATTCCTGTTGAAAAAAAGAAAAAGAAATACAAGGGAAATCCCATTTTCAGGGAAACGCAATCGCTGTGACTGCAGCACCGGTGTATTCACAAGGTTCAATTAAATTAATGAACGAATTCTCAAAAGTAATTCGATTCAAATTGTTATTCTAATGAAAAACTATCAAAAATTATTAGCAATGTATTACCGATAAAAAGTTGTCATTCATTGTCGTTTTCGCTGGGACCTTTTTATCAGACCGAACTACAACCAACTTACCCAACTTACTGTCGTGGCTGTATGTTGAAACAATTTCACAGTCAAGGACGAGCAAGTCAGCACAGGAACCCTCAAGCAAGTTACCCACGCGTGGATAGCTATCTCACACTGTGATCCCTAAATATCAATTTTTCTTGCATTAATCATACACGTCCCACAAAGAGAAGGGACCGCGCAGATTCGGCACTTCCAACCGCAACAAGCTCAGTATATGACAAACCACAGGAATGTGGGGCAATTGAACTTTTTGCGCAATTTAGTGTTTGTCACCGAATAATCATTGTTTAGAACGTGGTGAAGAGAATTAGGTCAATATTCAATCTTTTACATGTTTAAATTATATTCAATAGATTCATTAGAAGTTTAACTGATGTATGTCTCTGTCGTTCGTGTTTCTAATCAGTTGTAATTTCTCTCACATTTCGCAGAAAAATATGATCCAATTTCCAACACTCCGAAGGCAAACCCCAAGATCTGGAAGGCCAACTTCCGATGTGCGATCAATTCCCTTCCCGACATCTTGGAGGTGAAGGGTCAGGGCAAGAGTAAAGGGAATGACGCTTTCAAAATTTATAAACTGATCCCGAAAAAGGCCAGGAGAACCAGAACTCGTAAGTCGGATTTCTTCGTTAATCATTGAAACCTGCTCAATATGTGACCGTTGGATGAAAGAAAGCTTTGCAGTCAGATATTTTTACCTCCCTTCTTTCGTGTTCCTTCGCCATGTCGCCACAAACTCATATATTCATGTGCAAAAAAGACAGGAAAATATTCAGTCAGACCATGCAGCAGCTAACATATCTGATAGACCTTCCCTGCACTCTAAAAACTCCCGGGTCATTGACCAGGGTCCCATTTGGCGTGACCTCTTTCTGTGTCATATTATGACCCAGAGAGGGTCAAATACGAACTGAAAGGGGGTCATTTTTTTACCCGTAAAAGGGTCACGCCGAATAGAACCCAATGCTGGGTCAATCTGACCCGGGAGTTTTTAGAGTGTGGAAAAAAGAATGGAAAAAATGAATTGGATTCCCGCAGGCCTAAAAGTTTAAATATATTTTGTGTGCGATTATATAACAGCTTCTGACGGAAAAACGTCACAGAAAAAATCGGGTCGGCTGCAAAAGAGTCGAGTAGCGAGGCCTACAGAGAGACACAGACCGCAACCGTCGTCATCACAGGTAAAACTATTTGACGTTTGTTAATTGATTAAATAACCAGTTTTTAGCGCACATAAATCTGTGTTTGATGTCAACCAGAAAGCTCCATGAAAGAGTAATCGATAAATGATCATAATAATCGGCGAAAGTTCCTTCTTGGACATTCTTTGGACTGTTACTGGCGTTAGCAAGTGTTTTAAGGCTTAATTTTCATCTTGTTTTACAGTTCTAAAGTGATATGTGGCCGATTACATTCTACGGTACCTTTAAAAGATGTCTCTGATCAAAGAAACTGTATCCACTGAGTTATAGTTTTAATGACAAGATCATAGGGATACAGATAAACGCATAACTGTGGTTGCATTTCCCACGGTTTACTGCACTGTTTACAAATAAATATAATTCATATAATATTTGTATTTTTATATAATAATATAAAGTATGGTTTGGGCAGAAGCTGCGAAATGTGACGATTAGGAAATAAAAAGTCAACACTCTCAATTTGAATTAACGTGTCTTTTCGTATCAGATGTTTCCAAAGTCAAGTGAAAGTGTGTCAGCGGGAAGCCTTTCCCCAGAACAGTATGTAAATAGCCTTCTTCACAGTCGGTTACATGGTTACCCTGCATCTTTCTGGGACGAGCCCATTCGGAATGACATCAGCCAATCACAGCGGACAACAGGTGAGGCAAATACGCATTCGAATTGTTTTGATGAATTTCTTGTAGTGAGCTTTAATGGCCATTATGATGTCTCTTAGCTTCGCCTAGTTTTTGTTTTTATTGACTTCTCCTCCAGTGTGTCTAAAAAAGACTTGTGTTCTAGAACTTTAACAACCTCAATTTGATGTATCCCATTGGAAATTTCATCAAAGAAGGAATTTTGTTCTCATAGGCAAACAAATAGAGGAAGTTATACAGCTAAGGGAACAAATAAAAAGAATTTGTCTCTCTGGCATACCCCGTGTATCCTTCCAAACAAAACATACAGTCGTAGTTTACCGGTTAAAAACGAAAGTATCCTTCACCACGGACCTTGCTTTAACATTGTTTTTTTCTGGTCCAGATTTTTCTCGTTCCCACGATCCCTTCAGGAATCTATTTGAAGGTGACTAGTGAATGAGGAAATGGAGTTTAACAATCATGGGAAACGAATTTCAGTGTTTGTGAGCTGTAATAATGAAAAGGATGGAGCAAAGCAACATGAGCTGGCTGGCCGAGGGATCTTTTATTTTTGTCAATTTTTTTTGTCCGGATGCGGCTTGGCACCGAATGGAATCCATGGCAAAACATGACGCTTATAGTTCATTGTAATTTGAAATGTCTTCGGAGATGTATTACTGTCACTTATTGCAACAGTAACATTTTCACCAATTCCAGTGTACGTTGTGTATGGACGGAGAGTATTGTCTTGTTTGAACACCTTAGTTAGGTAATGTGCAGAGTACAATGTCGAAATGAAATGGATATGTTGAGTCTGGTAAGATAATATGCTCTCAGTGACTTATAATTTTTGGTGGTTTGTTCGCGATCGTTTCAGAACAATGGGGCCCCACTATCACTTACACCAACCGCCATTCACCAATAAGGCACGACTTGTCCCTATATCCAACCCCACCGTCCTCAAACCAGAGCACTAACGACCCGCTCAACCTCAGCTCAGCCCACCCATCTGAGGTGCCGGTCTCGTCTCCGCCCGCTTACCCCCACCATGGGCGGGGGATGTACCCGTCGCTCTACGCAATCAGCAGCTCACGGAGGCACGAGTCGGCCGTTGGTTCCCGGGGTAGTGAACTGATGGAGTACATTGCCGAAGGGAGGCAAAGGACTGGCGAAATCGTTAGCGCCGACGGTTACCAGGAACAGCTGCATGATGCAGGTATGTCTCGAAAGAGTTTTCTCTTCTTTCTCTCTTTCTCTTAACTGCAATTTTTAGACATTTCCGCAGTTGTAAAAAAAATTACATCATAAACCTCAACAAAAATTTCATTTAAACAAAGGCATATGATTCAACTGAGAAAGTAATATCATCGATTAATTAAAAGATGAATAGTATGCCTTCCAAGAAAAAGATTTCATGCTCTTTTCCTGATGCACACAGTTAGTTTGTCGCTGCTTGGACCCATTATTTCCTTTGTGTACTGCAGTACCTTTCGATGTTGACGTCATTGAATCTGAAACTGAGTTGTCCTCCGTGATCGCTAGTTTCGTGTTTAATTTTGATCGAGTGAAAGTGTTTCACACAGGTCTTTTTAAATAGATGTTTGGAGAGTGATGCCGTTATCTCGTCCCGTTCACGTGTTGTTTTAAAATTTGCAACAGGAATTAATCAGTGTGCTTTTATTCCCCATGGTGGTTTCCTTCTGGTTGTTAAAAAATGAGTCGTCATTTCCTTGTGTTTGCCTTTCGCTGTACTTTGAAAAACCTGTGCTCATTGACTATTGCACAGAACTAAGCTCGTGTATTGCACGCAACCCGTGTTTGAGTTGGCTCACAGGTCTTCGTTTGAAAGTGCTGAATCGACTTCAACCGCGAATTTCATGATAGGGAGGTGACAGTCTTTTATACCACTTAGATATATCAATTTTCAAAACCAAATTCTTTCAGAGTATTTCCGAATTGGAGGGTCCTTTCTTATGCGACTCACTAAACTTTTGCGTTATTTAGTCTTAACTATGCAGCCTTAATGTTTAGTTTTTTCAAGCCGGAGCTGTTTTTAGACAGTACTAATAGATTACAAATGAAAGTGTCTTTTTGGCACATACTCGAATTTTTATCAGAACAAAATGAAAGTTTTTGTTCCGTCTTTTCATTGGACATACATTGTTATTTGATGTACGGAATAACAAAAAATCTTGACGTGCTACAGGGTTTGGAAGACAAAAATTAAACAGCTTTTGCTGCAACGTTCGTCTGCGCAGTCTCACAGATGTTATATCCTGTCGTTCATAGATCTTTCTTTGTTTTTTGTTTCTCATAACAGAAAGCAATTGCAGTAGCATCCCTTCAGACGAGGAAATTGTCGATGTAAGACTCAGTATTTCTTACGGTGAAATATCTTAGTGAGCTCTTTGTTGTCTGTTCCCCATGGGAGGCACAAAGTTGTAATATTTTCATTATTAATTAGTCTACAACAAAATTCCCAAACACATTGAGTTTTCCACAGAGCACACAGTAAATATGATTCATTATCGTGCTATCACGAACAGACTTAGAAATATAAAAGAAAAAAATGTGTAACGACCTTTCATCTTTGCGTGTGATTTTAATCACAATATTAAATGAAATAATGTGGAGAAATTGAAGTTAATTGATCATCCTTTCGGAAACTGTGTCGGAATAACGTACGATTTTTAGTGCAAAATTTTCACACGGATTTACTATGTTTGATATAATCACAATAGGTGGTATAAATATGGAAAGTAAATCATACTAGAGTAAATTGAACTAATTATCCTTTACTTTTGGAATGACCTGGCTGAACTTTGGTTGCGTATGCAGCACAAAACGGCGCCCTCTATTGACGGTTATGGCAACTTTTTATCATCTGTCTAGACGCAACGTCAAAGAAAAATAAGGCTATTCAGCAAATTGTCATCAGTTCCCTTGGGAATTAGCCGTCCAGAAATATTGACCAAATATAGAGAGGCTTGTCAAACCCCTCATTCAGACAAAAGGAACTTTTTAGGGGTACTAGAAATTGAATTTCACGGACAGAAGTTGTCGCGATCGCCCCTTATGGTAGTGCGAAAGTTATTCTTGCTCTTATATGGAGTGCGTTTTGGAGATGACGATGATTCTAAACGGCTGACAAAGACAAATATTCTTAGCTTTCGCTTTTCGGCGTAAAATTTAAATTAGTATTAATTTGAAATAACGTAGATGGAGGTCTTTTCGGAGATTGCATGCACAGTTGGGGACTCGGCTCTAAAATTATGCCTTCTAACCGAAAAATTAATATATTTTTGGAGGTGTTCCAATATCCACTTGCGTCACTCCCCACTCCTCAAATTCTGGACAGTAATTGGTCACTTCCGTTTTAACTGACACTTGAACTTGCGGCAGCTCGTTGACTTGATTGGCTGTTTCCTAGTCCTCCAGCCTCAGAGTACGCCATTGGTTGTTGCACAGTCACTGCTGTGTAATTTGCATCACTAACTGACGGTTTATATCTCACCGGCAGATTGTGGACGACATGACCAAGAACAGCCCAATGAACAGTCCAACTCGGACATCACCGTTCGATGGCAACAATAACAGTAACTCGTCATCCTATTGGCAGACAAGCACACTGGACAACAAGCACTTTCTAAGCGACGAGCGCATGATACCTTCGACAAGTGGTACGCACATGCTGTTCGCATAGTTCAATTAGCTCTCGAATTCCTCTTTTAAATTCGATTTGTATCCACTCAAATGGTCATATATTCCAACGAGAACCTGTAGCAACACCGGGCATCTAGCTAGGATGGATGGGCAACTCGTCTTCGTTTTTATAACTCTATTTTTAGTCGGGCTTTCCACTTTCGTTTTTCACCCATTATTGTACAGGCGCTAATATTAACTATCTAATGATAATTCTCAGCTATTTACGTCCCAAGTGCTTGTTTTGACAACAGCAAAAGGATGATTCACCAGCAAAAGATTTGAAATTATATCTTCCCCTGCTGCCTCACTTTTGCGATGATCATGAATGTTAGAGGACATGCTAAAACGTACATAAATTTTGGCTCTAAAAGAGTCGCTAGTGGTTAGCTCCCTGCTGATGTAGTGCAAATGCTAAAGAGAAGTAAAATATGGACGAAATTTTTATTTCAAAATCTTCACAGGAAATGTCTTTCAGGTAACTATCAATGCTGGGATAATGGTCAGGTTACTGGCAACATTTGTACGCAGATTCCAGTATCCCATTATAATTATTGCACATGGACAAACTCGATATATTTTTAAGATTCTGAATAAAAGATATGTTTTTTCATAACGCAGAATTGTCGATGAGACCACCCCCTCCTGATTACAATTCGTACCAGAACTCAAGCCACGCCTTCAAAGTGGAATCAAGGGCATCCTGTGAATACATGAAACCAGAGGTTTATCGTGATCTCACTGAAGGTATTCAATACATTAAGCAAATTAAACGTATTTCCCTTGACTCCGCCCTATTCCAAGGAACTTGGTAACTGCTGGGCAAACAATATTGATGGGCAATTCTAGCTGTATCCATGGAATCAGTCGAAAACCAACTATATATGGCAGTATACATTAATAGGCGTTTTGGCTTTGAGCCTGTTTTGGTTAAAGAGTCTTGAGTGGAGAACCACTTGTTGCCTCTATGACTGTTTCTTGTATACCTTGCATAACTCCTTCGAAAGAAATTTATTTTGTTCTGGCTGCTACCACAAACCATAATCTGATAGTTCCCGTTTTGGTCTTTTTTTACATTAGAGTCAGTCTGGCATGCTTTGCCCATGACTATTTGTTTTCTCAACCACAATGGGTTACTTTTTTCATTTATTTCTCAGCAGGGAACAGAATAACCGAGACAAGTTCAGGCACCTGCTTCTACGTTATGTGAGCTCGGTCTCTCGCGTGTCGTCTGCTTGATGTTTGATCTGACAGCACTCTTGCTCTGCGGAACAATGAAACGATGAACCACCGATACAACTTGCATTAAGATGTTGATGCTTCCAATGCCTGCTTTGTACACCAGCTAAATGTTCTAATGTGCATTGTTTGGGCATTGAAATAACAATAGTTTCGGCTGGCCGATCTGTGTGATGGTTGCATGAAGAGTCTGAAGCACGTTGGCTGTCTGATGTGATCTTGTTCGCTTCTTGTGCTTTTTTTCCATATGGCGTTAGATTTTATGGCATCACGTGCACCCATTTATGCTGGTTCTAGACTGAATTTGGTTTCTGCAGTGTTTGTTCTTGTTTAATCAAAGAAACTCGGCCCTGAATTCTACATTAGCCACAGTGAGCACGACCCTGCATGGACTCTTGGGAATAAAATATAACATGTGGATGTGTATCTCTGTCTAGGGAATGTAAAAACCGAGGTGGTCCCTGTTGCTTGTACATTTACGGCACTTATGTCTGCATATTGGTTTATATTGGATGCTTTAGTAATATCTCATGCAGTGATCCTGTATGGATAGAATGGCTTTGAAATTGTTGAGTATATTAGTCTGGCGAATTAACATGCAAATTTTTTCTGTGTCTTCATTTAGACGAGTTGAAACCAGTTTGTACTAAGTGGTAACTTTGGTATTGTGTTTGTTTGGGGGAGATTTCACGCTTTATGTCGGCATTGATTGAATATTGCCTCTTCTGTTCTTTAAAATGATCTCTGCAATTGGTGCCATGTCTTCTTATGCCGATTCCTAATTGTAAATAATGCCAAATAAATAAAACCCGCACTGAACACTGAAACGATGTTTACATACAAATTTAAGTCGTATGTGAATCTTATATCCTTATAAGAAGCAACGCGCTTTGAAACAGCGTACGCACCATGCTGTCATGAAAAATATTAGAACTAGTCGTTTCCCACTTAACTGGAATACTTTGAGCAGTTCTGATTTGTTGTGATTTGAATGTTTTCATTCGAAAGTCATGTAGGACGTGTAGAAGGGCCATAAACACAAACTGAATTTTGTCCCTTTGTCTTCTTTCATGGCCACTATTCTTGTTCGAAATAAAATTTGGGGTCATGACGTATTTAGATGTATTTTTCGATATTCTTATATAATGTGGCACAGAGTGCGTCCAAAATATTATTTGTTGGCTATGAAAGTTACTAGATGTACAGTTATTAAGAGAAACAACCATACCCACTTTAACGAATGAGTAGATACTCATGAAAAATTGTCATTGGAAGTCCGATAAAGAACACTGTAAATAGACTATCTGTATATAAGAGAAGTAAAGTCCTTTCAAATGTAAGAAAGTTTTAAAGCTCCCATTTTCCCTTCCCATTTTGTAAATAAAACTTTTGCTACATTTTCCATGCTTTGGTCTTCGTCGGGATTTCGTTTGATTTTTTGTGACAATTTATTATCTCTCATAAATAATGGGTTGACAGAATACTAGATTTCTTTTGTGTGTGTAGAAAATTTAAGCAGTCAAAATAATGACAGAATCGTTTTCTGTTAAAAAAAAACTGTTGCTTTGATTTTAAGATAACAATGTGAAAGTTTGCATTGTTTGATTTCAAGTAGACCCTGCGGGTCGGAATAGTTTGATTTCACCCCTATGGTACGCATAAATTGGACTTCGCCGTTACGTCTAGGCAATGAAATTGAGGTATTGGTCCACGATGGAGAACTGTCGACTTTGATTGAGGTTAATTTTGTTAGCCGTTTTGGTGAAATTATGTAATCGTCTTTGGATGATCATTTTCAATTTCAAGATTATATTTTTTAAAAATTTTCTTGCAGTTTTTAGGTGTAGTTGTGACTGTTGTATTGTCAAAATGTTACCTTTTATGATAAACAGTTTTTTGAAACAATTCATTTTGAAATGAGTACCGTGCCAATCCATTCTTTATTTTAAACTGTTTGGGGAAACCTGTAATGACAATGATACGGTACTTCCGTTAGTATACATTTGAATGTTTATCTGACTAATTGACTGATATTATGCTGTGGGTTTTTCTCAGGCAAGGAAGTGAACGGATGATTTGGATGAATAAAGTCGCATTTTGTGAAATTATACAATGCCAAGAAGTCTCTTACATCCTTATTGTGGTATATGTCTGCAAGAAGCTGTTGCAATTTGCTCTTGATAATTTGAGTGCCCGTCAGAGTTTTGATGATATGAGATCTTACGGGGTGAGGGAGGGAGAGAGCCTTACCCGTCACGGACATGCGAGAGTAACTGAGGTCCCTCATTAACAGTGAACAAAACTACGACTCGGAGGATATCAAGTTTCTGCCAAATTGCATTCTAATTCCTACATAATTGTGAAGACAGTTGGGGATGAGAAGATTGGGCGGAAATTAATGGGTTTATTCAATGCAATTTGTAATAAATCCATCGGATATCGCATCTCGTTTTTATTTTCAATCGTCAATTTAAAGAGTACTTTGGTGCCTTTTTTAGTTTTTTTAGGCTAATGGCTATCCATATTCATGAATAACATTGTGATGCATATTTGGTAGGAAACTCAATTTGATGTGTTTTGCTGTCGACATTATTATCCTTTTATGATTCTGTGTTGTGTTAGTACATGAGAATAAGTCAACAAGCAACTCCATCTAAGATTTTTTTATCAATGAACAAATTTTGGTTCACAGTTTGAATGGGAAACCCCTTAAAATGAAAAGTATTTATCCTAAAACAATGGTATTATCAACAACATTCTCAATTTTTCAGTAAAGCATAACGTCAGATATTTTTCATACGTTGAAGAGGACTATCAAGTCGCACAAAAGTGTTCTGGAAAAAGAAAAATAAAAACGCTCGGACCCTTTCAATGCTGCTGAACAGTCAACTGCCCAAAAAGATGACCCACAGGCAGAGACATGGTAAATCAAATGCTGCCATTTGTCATGAAGTGCAATGATAACATGTAACAGTTCCTCACATGATTCCAAGGTGCCTTGTTTATTTTTGGTAAATCTTTCAATCAACCAGTGCAATGTATTTTCATTTTTCAGGGTGTGGTGTTTAATTATGTAAAAAAATACAGGGAGTAGAAACTGAAGAAAGTGGCGCATTAGGAGTTGAAACACAATGGAACAATTGTTCAGTTATTATTTAATTTCACTCGCTAGCTGTTACTGATATCTTATTGCAGCCATGAGGGCATCACGGGGTGAGGAGGATATATGCAAGTCATAAGAAATCAAAATCGAAACAAAATTTAAATATACACTGTAGGCCCTGTGCTTATATTTCGCATTTTAGGTTTCGACCTAGCAACACAACTAGCCGTATTTGTATTTGGAAAATCCCCTTTTACTTGCAGCATAATTTTATTTAGTGCACAATAAACTACCAAACTGTCACACAAACCAAGCAGGGAATAACTTCAGTTGGTCCGTGTTTCTCAACAGCGCGTGGGACCTTCCCGTGATTTTTTATCAAGTGCTGTCACGAATCATTTCCTGTCAACCACCTATCTATCACGATCTAGGAGGTGAGGATTTTCGCGCAATCCCCGTCTCTCCTTACACCCGATTGGGAAAACAATTTAGTTAGTTATGTTCTCAGAATCTGACGTTAAATATTCAACGCGAGTGATCCTAAACACCGAATGGCAGGCTCTCCCCATGGTGCCAACCACAGGCGCGTGTAGAGCAGGCGCGAGACGGGTCACGGCAGTGCAGTACGCACGACCAGCAACAAGAGTGTGACTGCACGTAACCGCTTCGGGAAAAATCCCATTGTTCCCGGAAAGGTACAAACAAAGAAAAGAAACACGCGACTCTCTCTGGAGACTGTCTGTTATATTTGGGCTCTCAATTTTGAAACAGTATATGAGTGCAAAAAAACACCAAAAGATCGATAATGTCTTCCACTTTCTTTTTCATTACGTTATAACACCATTTCTCTTTTATTTTGATAAGTTTGGCCCATTTGGAATTCATTCATCTCCCTTAGGATTTCAGTTCATATAAATTACAATGGGCAACACACGGGAGCATGGAAAGTAGTTAAAGGAATCTATTTTTTTCTGGCCAATAAGAAGTGAAATTCTGATAACACAGACTTCGGCTAAGAATATAGATATAAATGGAAAATGCATGCATGCATGCTTGGATTACATGTACTACCTGCTAACTTCACTGGAGTGAAAGTTGGGCTTATAAACAGGTTTACAAGAATCACAGCAGAATGTTAGTAGTAAGAGGAATTATACTATGCCCTCAAACTTTAAAAGGAGAAATGATACAGGAAAAGTGACTTGAATACTTGTAGGAAAGCTGTCTTGTAATGTTACGTGACGTTCAATTTCCTTAGTGGCAGTTAAAGGGAGAAATTTAAACATTTTGGTATTGGTGCTGATGAAATTTACACATTCATGACTAAAGCGTGATATGAACTAAGGCAAGACAGTATTGACTCCGTAGCTCTGTGTACAAACAATCACTCATACCTACAGTTTCTTCTAGGTTCCACTTTTTCCTGGTTTGTCGAGTTGAGTAGCCTTGTTTGGACAATGTCATTGGCCAATGTTCTTCAAAGCTTTACGGTTGCGTTAATTTTAAAGGACAAATTTGGTACTACATTTTGACGAGTAATGCCTTGTCTGACAAGGGAAAAAGTGCCCTCTAAAATGTACTGATGGAAAGGACTTTAAAAATGAAAAAACTACCACCTTCTTGTCACAGTAATATAACAGAAGTATGAACCGGTAGATATTGTTTGTACTGTTTTAACACAAACAGTATGTACTGAAAACAAGATGAGCTAAAATGTCCACTGAATTTTTCCTTTGAACGAGGTATGTTACAGCTGTCAATCATTCTGTTCGCTTCTACAGAAGCCTCATCGGAAACAAAACGCTGAGAATCTGCCTTTCTTTTTTCTCAACAAATCAGTTTTAATTTTGCTGGCATCCCTTGGAAGACTGCACTTTACGTATGCTTCGGAGGGAAATTATTATCGGCGCATGTCAGGGCATTTGCATGCGTAAAACCGGGGACATGAGAATTCGTGCAAGGTAACGCAGCTGCTTCATTTCATGAAATTTATGTCTCATTTCAATCTTTGGGAAACAAACACTATCTGTCCAAAATTATTTTCATGATAATATAAGTCCTAACGTGTTTTGTGAAAATATACTTAGAAATAGTGTCAGAGTTGTCAAAACAAGTGGTTTTTGTAAAAAGTTCTTTTAGTAAGTGGTAGTTTGTTTACGTTTTGATGTGATTTGTGAAGGCTCGAAACAAAGACTTTTTCTGAAGTTTTCCAAAGTGGGCTGTGGTGGAGAAAGGTGTGAAGGTTTTAGATTTGCTGATGGTTTTCTGCTATATTTTTTTCTCTTCCCGACCAGATGCGTTTGAAGATCGACCTAACTCAGCACCGATTCCATTTATCCCCATAATCTTACGGCCTTGCGAGCATAAGAATTCAGTGGCTTGGGAATAAAAGATGAACACAAAAGTACACTAAGTTAACATGAAGTTTATTATTGAAACCAAGGACTATATGTCATTATAATATTACCAGGAAATGTTGAAATTACGGTATATACCCCCAGTTTTACACATACATGCGTACCACATGAAAACGTTTGTACACCGGTTCCGACGCATAATTTCCATGTGCATGTTCACGCATGGGTGTGTGTCCATGTGCATGTGGACGTCACTCCCCTCCGAAGAAGGCGGGGGCGCCCTCCTCCTCGAGGCGTGATGGACGGACTGCACGTACTTGAAAGTCCCTGAGGGGCGAGTCCGTTGGGATGAACGTTAGCCTCACACATAGGACTGTGGTGGCTCACTTTTACAATCTTTCCCTTTTAAAGTGTCGCCACCACAACCCTACTTCAAGGCATGTCTTAAATACCGGAAATCCAAACTCCAGGATTGTCACGAACTTTGAATCCTAATATCTTCCGAAATAAGAGTGACTCAACAATTTTACTTACACCGGCGTATTCCTCAGAGATTGGACTTTTACATTAGCACCCTAAAGCTTTCCAAAGCCGTAAATTTTCCGATGTATGGCGACTTGAAAACTGGGCCTGTGATATTTATACATGTATGCTGACCACGGGCGGCGCCATTTTAAAAAACGGAAGCAGCGCTTCTTGCGTCGGATATTAAGGCATCTGACAGGCGCTCTGTTACATATGGAATTCCATATCTGCCGTCGTCCGTCACCCGTCGTGCGTCGCCCGTCGTGCGTCGTCCGTCGTGCGTTGCCCGTCGTGCGTTGCCCGTCGTGCGTCGTCCGTCGCCCGTCGTGCGTTGTCCGTCGTACGTCGCCCGTCTCCGTAGTTTTTATTTTTGACCCTTGATCGTTTCACAGGTACATGTCCTTTGATCCACCATGCCTGACTCCAATTTTAGCAATAGAACTAAAAGATGTATTCGTTTTTGCAGTTTCGCCGAACTCCACTTGAAAGAAGAAATAATATCTTGCCATTGGTAAAGTATTGTGTATATAAAAAATACCATTTTTTGTTACATGAATAAATTAACAAAACAGATTTTTGTTAGGGTAGATTGTTTTTCTCGATAACTTAGTTACTCTAGACGTAACTTTACTCGTTAACGGCCTGACTTTATCAATAGCCTATGTATTATTTCAGTCTGTCCCTGCACGATATCCCACAGAACGGAATTAATAGTTTTCATTCGAGACGAACTGATTCAACATTATTTTGAGGGCGGGTACACCCATGATGAAATCTGCTGTATACTCCAAATTAGACATGACTTGACTTGCAGGTAGGCTCACAGAAGTCTTGTAAACATTAACGTTACTTGTTAGCCCCATAAACAATGCTGATATGCTGGACAACCTGTTCTCATTGGTCTATCCACCATGGCATACACATACACAAAAACCAACGCGTCACATTTTCTGAAACTTAAACCAAGTGGTAATTGCCCCCTAACAATACATTTAATAAACAGTTTGTTATCCACAGCACTGTCTGGTATTTCTGTATTTCAAGGTGAAATTGAGGGGGCAAAATGGAATGCCTGTATCGGTTGGCAGATTTCTTTCTGGATTTTGATGAAAACAAGTCGGCACA